AATAATATAACCCAAGGTGTAAAAAAATACCTTAAATATTCTTTACATCGCGTGGGCTGCGAAAACTATGATTATAGAATAAAATAATGTACTACTACGACTTTGTAGAACACATTATTATTTACAAAAAGTGTCGCGACAGCATATGTCTAACTATTACGGTTATGCCGCAAAAAGTGTTCTTTTATTTTAAAAAATAAAATAACATTAATATCGTTGAAATTTTTGTTAAAGACCCGAGCGGAGCCGGAGCGGGCCGCTAGTCATTTATAAAGTCGAAAGTTTAAATATGAAGGTAGACAGTGCTGTGAGGAGGAAGCGTCTTAAAAAGACTTGGATGGACTGTGTAAAAGAGGATATGCGAGAGTAGGGTATGAGTGAAGAGATGACGTATAATAGGCCTGAATGGAGAAAGAGAACAACGCTGCGGCAACCTCATATAGTGGATTAAGGATAAGAAGTAGAATCACTTATGGAGTTGAGATGAATAAATTAATATTATGGAATTAGCAACAAAATAAAATAATGCGATAAAGAAATGTGAGGCGATGTGGAAATTGTAACAGATCGTAAGCTTGTTTTTTTTTTAATTTATGGTTAACTCTAACCAAAACCGTTTCCGACAATCCCAATTAAATGTAATTAATTGTATTACTAACTTAAACCTGCTTGTCCACTCCCGTAGAGAAATAATGTATTCCTCTTTAACATCATCTTCAGCCTTTTGGAACCCAATGCCAGCAGTATACCCAGTTATAGGCCCATGATGTTCGATAACTCGCCATTTACATCCAAGTCTGTATAAATAAATGTCTGTCAAAATAATACATGTTTTTAAAGTACTGTTAAAAGTGAGACCTTAGAACTCATGTCTCAAGCTGGGTGGCGGCATTTACGTTGTAGATGTATATGGGCTTCGGTAATCACTTAACACCAGGTGGGCTGTGAGCTCGTCTCCCCATCTATACAATAAAAAAATAAAAGTAATTATACCAACATAGATTTTTCTGTTCCCCGCAACAACGTGTAAGCATTTCGCGATGGTCGGTTGAGAAGTTAAAATTCAATAAACAAACAATTAAAGCTATTTTTGTTATATTATTTAATTTGAATCATCATTCACGAACAAAGTCACACTGATGTTGAGTTAATTAAAAATAAAAGGCTTCATTTATAATATAAATAAATTTAATATTTGAAGGAAAAATTTAAACAGACTATTCAGTCCCAAAATAGGAGCTTTTCAAACTTTTCATATGCAAAATAGTACAGTTTCTGTCGTGAAATTAAAACGCTTATAATTCCCTCACTTCTGATCGTGTTTTAATTTGGTTTACGTTCATTACTTTTATTTGCGTTTGACTTTTACGATAACCATAAAAATATTAGTGAACACGTGATGGAAAAATGAAAAGTTTTGTGCGTGCGATCAGACTTGTAACAAGAGGTGACGTCATCATTTAAATTGTAAAAACGAACTGCATCTTAGCGTTAGTTAACTTTTTTATGAAATCATTTTCCGAGAATTTTATTCACTAACTAGCGGCCGGCTCCGGCTTCACTCGGCTCTTTAACAAAATTTTCAACGTGACGTTTCAATTTGACGTTGTAACGTCGTACGTTAACCACGTAAATAATATTCTAGGTAATTTTGTTACACCTTGAGTTATATTATTGGAGTTTTAGTAGGGATCCCTAATTTTTTTCAAAAAAGATTATATGTCTATGTCACTCGGAAATAGTGTAGCTTCCAAACAGTGAAAGAATTTTTCAAATCGGTTCAGTAGTTTCAGAGCCTATTCAATACAAACAAACAAACAAATCTTTCCTCTTTATAATATTAGTATTAGTAGTAGAGATGAATCAACAGCGTAAAACCTAATATATTATATACTTTTTCGACACGGACAGACAAGCCCAGTCTAATGCCACCAATAAGGTATTTGAATCTACAAATAAATGATTATTGATAAAACAATAATAAATTAAAAGAAAAGGTGTGCTCGCTTGCAAGAACAATATCCGACTAAAGACGCATTGGACACGACTTTTAAACACCGCCTACTTGGACACGACTTTTGTTGGGTCATTTTTGGAGCGCAATTACATTTCCTGACTCATTATTTATTCGTAGGTTTGAATCAACAAATACCTCAAAATTCTGAAGAGAATAAGAAACGTTTCTGATATTAATACGTCACTCTAGAATAACACCGTGCTCCGCCGGAATCGGCCGTTTCCTTTAAAGACCTTCATTCACATCGTGTCGTGCTTAGCCGGATGTATTATAGCACACGCTAATAACTTTATATGCGCACACGGAGAACTGTACATATGTATATATTACTAGCTGACCCAGCAGACTTCGTACTGCCTCAATCGATAAATAAATGACCAAAACTTTTGTATAAACTTAAAACAAACAAAAGGAATCCGTCCGACGGGGGACACTTCAAAGGGAAAACAAAATTGTTATTTTTATTTCATTTCGAGCGTTTTCATATTTATCTACCTTTTAAACCTTCTCTGGACTTCCACAAATAATTCAAGACCAAAATTAACCAAATTGGTCCAGCCGTTCTCGAGTTTTAGCGAGACTAACGAACAGCTATACATTCCGATAGAGGCACCCGTCACGTGCGGACGTGCTCATCGTCCACTCGATCGCCCGGTCTTTGTTCGCCCGGCTTTTGTTAGCCCGGCCATTGTTCGCGCGGCCTGTGTTTGTGGTACATCTGCCGACTAAGTGCTCTTTCTGGAAGTTTTTATTTGTTTTGTTTCCTTTTGTTGTTTCTGTGTTCGTGGTACATCTGCCGACANAAAAAAAAAAAAAAAAAAAAAAAAAAAGAACAGCTATACATTTTTATAGGTATAGATTGTAACAAAACATATTGCGTTCAGCGAGCAGTCATCGAAAGTTCTAGCGTCAATTAGCGACGGTGACTACTTATCATCTAATATGCCGTATACTCCTTTTCCTACAAAATATAGATATGCCGAACTAAAGTTTGCCGATTCATACGTAGGGATGAAGATCTGCAGAGTTTTTCGTGTAAACATACATGCTCGAAACACTCCCAGTTCTAGGCCGCTCATAAATATTCCAATTTCGATTGTTACATTACGTTCATGTAAACATAAGAATTTAAATAGCCTTCACTACTCTCATATATGTAGTATTTTGATATTACTATAATAATACAGTTTTGGAGTAGTAATGGTAGTTCCGTTTTTCGAAGTGGAAAGGCGAAGGTACACAGCAGACATACAGCCTAATATTTTGTATATTCTGTGTTATGAAAAATGAGATGGAGCGAATGGAATGAAATTGATTAATTTGAGACTTTAAACAATTAGAATGAATTTAAATGAAACAAGATAATATGGGATGAAATATAGTCTCAGTAAAATGGAATGAAAATGAAAGCTACGGAAACTTTTTTAGTGGACTGTTTGGAAGATACCAAAAAGCTACGTCCAGCTGCTATGTTCAATTTTCCCACATTTTTGCACTTTCACAGATAATAAACCACCGTTATTAGACATTCAAACGTACAGAAACACTAAATTAACAAAATTTAACAATTCACGCAACTTCGCTTCTCGCGTTCCCGCCAAAAAGCCTCGCTTTTACATGTTTTACCTTATCTCATAGACCTTACTTCAGTGCCTTATCTCTATCCGTATGTCACTGTCACTGTCATCTTTTATTCTTATATTTAAACCTCCGTTTCAGGCTTCTTATAAACAGTTTGCAATCGTTCTGCCTATACGTGATGATGGTATTTTATTCGCCACACATTTATTCATTAAATTGTTTTTATCATAGGTTGAAATTCACCGTCAGTATTTTGTTACATTTCCAGCTCTAGACAACGAAATTTTATCGAAATCAATTTCATTATTGAGATTTTGACAGGACTGTACAATGAAAGGTTTTCTCGAGTAGCAATGCAATTAATCTACGTTAAAATCAATTATTAAAATTAAGTGAAAGTTGTAATTTCAACTTTAACCTTTCAACCAAGAATCAACATCAAATTTCAGGATGTCTGCATTAACTTTTTTTTTTATTGCCTTTGTATGCAGACGGGCATACGACCCACCTGATGGTGAGTGGTTACCGTCGCCCATGGACTTCAGCAATGCCAGGGGCAGAGCCAAGCCGCTGCCTACCGCTTAATACTCTCCACAAGCCTCGTTTGAAGAAGGACATGTCATAGCGCTCGGGAAACACCGTTAAGGGGAGCTCATTCCATAGCCGGATGGTACGTGGCAAAAAAGATCTCTGGAAACGCACTGTGGATGACCGCAGTGGCTCCAGGTAGTATGGATGAACTCTACTCCGGTGGCGGGCGGTGCGATGGTAAAAACGAGATGCTGGTATCATCTCGAACAATTCCTCAGAGCACTCCCCATGGAACATACGGTATAAAATACAGAGGGAACCNCGCACTGTGGATGACCGCAGTGGCTCCAGGTAGTATGGATGAACTCTACTCCGGTGGCGGGCGGTGCGATGGTAAAAACGAGATGCTGGTATCATCTCGAACAATTCCTCAGAGCACTCCCCATGGAACATACGGTATAAAATACAGAGGGAACCGAAGTCCCTCCGCAGACCCAGAGGCTCCAAACGATCCGAGAGAAAACTTTTAAAATACTATTCTTCTTGTTGAAAAGAATACTAAATTCGTCTTCCTAAAGAAACAGCAAGATTAATTTATCACGATTATATTTATTGATAAATAAAGCTAATAAAAATATAATGCAAAAAAATACATTTATATACAACACAATCTTCTCTTCACAGCACACAAACCAATAACAAACGTAAATACATTTTATATTGAGATAGCGGCTGCAAATAGAGCTTATCTAGTTCAAGAGCTTAAAGAACCACAACACAAAAATTAGGACGGGGAAACAGTACACACTATAAATAAATTAAGACAAAGACGCATTCTTGTATATGACGACTCAATAATTTAATCTTACAGGTCAATCACATAACAGCAACCACAGTCTTTATCGCTTAGGAGAAGTGGCAAGAACAACGGTTCGAGAATTTGCGCAGTTTGGTAAAATTGACGATCTGGTCAATGAAAGTGACGAAGAACCAAAGGTCTACGACCAGTTTTCTGCACCAGCAATAAAGTCGGGAGAAGGGGAAACTGAGAACATGGTATTTGTGGATGGAGGCCATAGTCTGGTAAGAGCAAAGCTTACTCATGTGTTAGAATACTCTACATTGGGAGATCTTAAATACGATCCCTTGAGCTATTATCCGAAAATTCCATGGGTCATATTTGGCGCAATCCAACTTTATTTACTTAGATAATCGTTCCATTTAATCGACAATCGATTTAATCTAAATTGATATTGGAATTTATGGATATGCACAATTAAATCTTACTATTTTTGATTTCAAGATTGACCCTCGGAACAAAGGCCCCAAAAGTATCTTTCATTGCATTCAATGATTCAAAATCCTAAAACCAAGCGGTTTCCTCATTCAGTATTTCTGCTAACCTGAACAATATCCAATATTCAAAACGTAATATAATATCTAACCGCCATATTTATACTTTAACATTCTTAGTTTTCGTTACGCTTGCTTATTGCTTCCATAGAAAGTAGCAAAACCATTCATGGAAGTTGAATGAGACCAGAGCTTTCATAGATAAATAGGTCACTGACTCTTCGCGACTTACGCTTTCAAACTCATTACCGTTAGTATTATGGTTCATAAATGTAGCACATATCAATGTAAAATAGTAATTAGTAGTAATATTTCACAAAAACTTATAAAGCGGCACTTGTGGAGACAATGTCGAGATTCCAAAATTAGATTCTTATTTAACTAAAGTCTCAAATTTAATTATACCCAATGTTGTATAATTATAATCTGTATAATGCTATTTGTGAACTCTGGTTCTAAATTCACTAGTGGGTTTTAAGATCGTCTATCCATATTCATTTAATATCAATTATTTTCTTGAAGGTGTCATTAATTTGCCGCTTAATCCCGTCTCCGGATTGGTTCGTCGGCGTGGATAGCTTGAACCTGTGCGTCGACCATTCGTGGGTTGATGAAGTTGCATTAGACGTAAGTAAGACCATATCATTGTCAATGTTAATATTAAATGATGAAAGACGGGTCTACGGAGGAAGCTCGACCCTCCCCCCCGACATGGGAAGGAAGCCTAAGGCGCAACGACTCACTCCACATTATCATTACTCACATGCACTTATTTTCATTCATTAGCAGAAAAGCAAAATACCACCCCTTTCCTGTTGGGTAGGAAGTTCAAGCCCGGGCAGAGGGGGCATCCCCCGGGGCCTGACCCCCGTAAGGGGACGCGAGGACCAGACGTATTATTTTCAAGCTCACTGAGTTCACACCTGGTCGTTTTAGTGGATCGCGATTCTGACCCGATGGTAGATATAATGGCCCCTTGAGGAAACAGGCAGAAAAAAGAAAGAGAAGTTTTAAATTTCAACTTTTTCCTCATACAACTCATACAATCACTAAATGGGAAGTATGTTATGTCGAAACAAAAACGAAATCTGAAATATTTCAGATTTTTTACTGCACAGATGAACTAATTGACGCACTGCCCATATCTGTTGAGGCGATCATAGCCGATGAATATAAGAATGTGAATTTCGCGACTCAACTTGAGAAATGAGATCTCAGTCTTAATCGAGTATCGGCTATCCCGATCGTTATTGCGTTGCAGCAGAAATAAGCAGCGTGATGCTACCTACCCAAGTGGGCTTTCAACATTCCCTGCTATCAACAAGAATACCCTGCCACCAACTTTACAATTCACATTACTGTATTGGAAGAATTTTTACCATATATTTTTGTTGCTATAAAATCCGTTTGTGGAACGAAGTTCCTTATGGGACGATGCGGGGGGGGGGGAGGTAACCGGGAAAAAACGTCCATAACGTAAGATTTTTATTAGTAATGCACACAGTGTACGAGTTAACTTTGTAATAACGTACAAAAAATCACATAACATATTTTTTTTATCAATAAAATATCATAATAACAAATGTATACCCAAATAATTATTTTCTTTATACCTCGAATAGAACTTAAAATTAACATTTTTATAATAAGAAACTTCGTTCCTATCCGGTGTCCAACGACACCACACATCTTTATTTATTTATTTGTATGCTAAAGTTTTAGAAGCAGTGGTAGTCGCAATAATAAAATTTATTTTGTAGCTAGAACCTCTTGACGCCGGAGCGGCCAGTGGTCTGACTTTCACAGCTCCCAGATGGGACACGGATCCTCCTGAACCAATCAGCAAGCACAGACCACGACAGCCCAACCACGCCGCAGCCGGATTCTACTACCCTGAATTAAAAGAATTACCAGCTATAGCCAAAGTACAGTTTACTAGGGTGAGTTTATGCGACGTCAACTCTATAGTTGAAAATTACTGGTGTTTTTTTACTAAATCAGTCATGCTCTTGTGCTGTCTGTGTGTTTGAAAGTTAAATACAAAATGTTATTATAAATTACAAAAATAATAACATAATGAAACAATTTCATTTTGATTTCAATAGCAGAGAAGCTACAATATTTTTAATTGCTAGGTGGGTTGACGACCTCATAGCCCACCTGGTGTTAGAGGTTACTGGAGCCCATAGACATATACAATGTAAATGCGCCACTCACCTTGAGATATAAGTTCTAAGGCCTCAGTAAAGTTACAACGGCTGCCCCACCTTTCAAACCGAAACGCATTACTGCTTCACGGCAGAAATAAACAGGGTGGTGATACCTACCCGCGCGGTCTCACAAGAGGTCCTACCACCAGTAAAAAAATACTCGATTTTTGTTTAACTTTTGCTTATATACATCGTTGACGCTAGGAAAACATGATCTCTTTTCAAACCACTATTGAAGAGGTACATGCCTTAAGCCATCAAAAGATCTTCGAATCAGCTGGATAAAAACTCACTCTGGTGCTACAGCTCACAAACCAAGCAATTACGGTAATGTACCCGACACGTTTCACGGTCTCACAGCAGCACTGATGTCGTTTAATGGGCCTTAAGTGATTAATTAAATTATCCATTCCGTTAGATCCTATTACGGTGTAACCATTCCATAATTTATTACACTTGTGATCATACATGTACAGTGTACACGCATGTACAAATTACATGAGCTATAAACGTTCTGAAATTAGTTTAATTTTCAAATTCTTATTTAATTCACACACAGGAAAACATTTATTTCAAATTAAATCTCATCAAAACATACTTCTTCAATCTTCTCTTGGAAATGTCTCTGTCCTACTGGTTCTGTTTGTAACAAAAAAGCCACAGTATATAAACTCAACGGGCTTAGTTTCCTTTACACTTACGAATTTTGTGTCACTTTTCTATTCAATTCATATTTTACTTTTAACATAAAAACATGAATACAAAAGAAACAATAAAAGAAAACGGACTACAGCGTACACCTTATTCCTACTCCTTACTGCCGTAATGATTTACTGCTATAATTTTTTGCAACGCTGGACAGTTTTCTTTGCAAGTTTTCTTTATACCTAGCCAACTTTATTAGGCCCCAGCCACTTCACATCCATAAACTACAACATGGTTCATATTAAAAACTCCAATCTATTTCCGTTTATTTTTCTTTGTAAAGATACAGAAAGAAAAAAAAAGACTTTTCTTCCCCCAACCTTGCTTTGATATTTAAAAGATTCCTTGAATGAAAAATAAGTCTACACTACATTTCAACACGTATTCATTGACTATCTATATATTAATACGTGAAGCAAAAACTTTGTATCCCTTTTTACGAAAATTGCGCGGTCGAAGGAGTATGAAATTTTCCGCACTTATAGAGAATATAGAGAAGAAGTGCACAATGCTAATATTTTTTTTTAAATAATACATAAAAGATACATTAAATCAATAAAGAAAACATTACACACGCTACATACCATATATTTGACGCACAGACGCATGCATACTATTTATTGTCAAACTTTTGTTCTTGACGTCTGTTGTCAAATTGAGAATAGAATATGGTTTGTCTTTGTTAATATTTTTTATAATGTAGTCTTGGCGAATTTTGTGATTATAGAAGTATAAAATATAATCATAATAGTGTACAAACTTACAATTCCAATTAATTATAGTCGAATTTCGACTACTGCGGGACCTCTAGTTTAAATAAAAAGCGGTAGAAGAAAATTATTTAAATTCAATCTAGTTCGATTCATTGATTTCTTCCCCTTCACTTTTTTCAGATTAAACAATACTCGACTAAAGAACTTAACAATTTGATTAGAAAAGACTTAATATCTATACTTCGTGAGAAGAATCTTCGCAAGGGACTCCCCAAAAGGATCGTTAAGAAAGATGGCCCCAAGGATTACACTGAGAGCACTACGAAGAGTAACTTGGAGCGTCTTACGGAGCTAGAGGAAGAACCCTTTGGGACGCCTCTCCCTGGATTACCGGAAAATCATACCATTGTTGTAACAACTCAAGGGACCTTGTAAGTTTATAATGGTCTGAATGATTTTTGCAGTAATAGCACTATTACGGTAGATACATCTGCGCACTAATAGATAAATCGTCGGATATGCTTTTACTTGTATCAGTGATGCGGAGATATTAAGTACTTGCCAACTGTGCTCCCCATCCATAACCTAACATTAATATCAATGGGCTAAAAAGGAAGAGTTTGATATAATTATGAACTCTGGATTTCAGGAAATTCAAAGTGCTGTGTGCGCTTTTTTGAATTTTGGTATTAATTAGTTATTATGGCCGCATAGACATAACGTGATGACGAAACCTCAATTCTTTTTTTTTTATTGCTTAGATGGGTGGACGAGCTCACAGCCCACCTGGTGTTAAATGGTTACTGGAGCCCATAGACAGCTAGAACGTAAATGCGCTACCCACCTTGAGATATAAGTTCTCAAGGTCTCAAGTATAGTTACAACGGCTGCCCTACCCTTCAAACCGAAACGCATTACTGCTTCACGGCAGAATTAGACAGGCAATTGTATAATACATCGGCTTTATCACCTTTAAACCCGAGTATATGACTACTTAACAACAGATATAGCTGCCTATAGACCTTTTCTCACATAACAGAGAATATACCACATACCAAAGTATTTTATAATATTCTGCTGCATCCAAACACAATAGTGGAACTACCCTAAAATTACATGATTGTTATAATTTTTATTTCAGGCCTACAATCGAGCCGGAATTTGGCAGTGAACTTAAAAATATGGATGACGTAATACTCGCCGTAGCTAATGGAAAGAAATTGGGTCTTCACAAGCATTTACCAAGACATTTCAGATCTAGACTGCATCACGCAGTAAACAAGGTTCAACGTAAGTTGTTTTTACATGATCTTGAACTGTCTGGAGAAATTGAATACAAACAGGGCTTCCAACGAATTGTTATTTTCTTTAAGCAGCCTGCCAGACCTTAGATGAGTTGTTATATAAACTAATTCCCATTTCTAATTATCGAAATCTACTAATAATCTAATTTAGCAATTCTTCTGTACAGAGAATATTTTGGAGACATCAAAATTTACGAAACAGGAAACCCGTAATGTTTTTTAAACGAAGCTAAATTTACTGACTGATATTCTTGTCAGCTTGTATTTGAGAAATCACCTTTGTATAAATCCGGACTGCCAGCACTATTCTGTCTATACTATCTTGTATTCCGGCTTCAAGGTTGAAACAGCCGTTGCACATTATAATTAGAATTGCAACCACATGTCTCTAGATGGGTTTGGACTTTAATGCCTATGAGCTCATCTGCCTCTATAATAGTGATTACAAAGGTATCGCTTATAATAATGCAGTCAAATTTTCAGCCAATGACTGTCTAGTTTCCGAATGGAGTCAATGGACCACGTGCTCCGCCACGTGTGGCTACGGAGAGAAAATTCGATACAGAACTATAATAAGAAAGAAGAAACGAGGTGGCCGCTCTTGTCCTCCACTAACAGAAAAAGAGCATTGCGGAAAAGTCAACTCGTGTTTTCATATCGATTATTTCGACTGGTAATTGTAAGAGGAAGTTAAATGGTTCTAAAATTATCACAATGGTATCCACTAGTTGTGCGTTTATGTGTTTTAAATGTTTTGTAGTTCACGATTGGTTTTTATTTATTTTGATTCACCTTTTTGACTTGACTATTTTAATCAAATTATGGGAACCGGCTGGATGCAGGGTGCGCCGGACTGGTCCTTGTGGCGAGCTTTGGGGGAGGCATATTTCCAGCTGTGAGCGTCTGTGGGATGATGATGGTGATAATGCTGTGTACTTACGAATTATAATATAATTCGAATTATAATTAATCAATTTGAATGATGAGGTCACGTATTGGAATTTAAATAAATGATTGTTTACAATGAAGTAATCGTTTTTTTTTCTATTAACATAACGTAATTAAATAAAAAAATACATATTATTAATTTTATTCCATTTGAATACACAACAAAAATATTTTAAAATATCTATCGTATCTTCGAATATAGTATTTATCTACATCAGTATATAGCTGCATAGTTTTTTACAACTAAATAAATAGACTGTCTCACAGACAGCTTCAGGTAGAAAATGAAATCAAAAGGTCAACTTATATTGTAGTTAATATCTTCTCTACACTTAAGGCCAGCAAAAATACAAAGCTAACTAACTACATACTCCAATTCAAAACGATCGGGCCGAGTAGTTCGTGAAAAACAACGTTATGATGTCTTTGGACTACAATGCCTACTTACCATTAGTTGGGCTGCGAGCTTTACTCTGCACTTAACTAAACCAACAACTCCCATCCTTGTTCTCATAAAATGAAGAGTAAGTCGGTCAACGACTGAGCCCATACCTACTAGGGATCTCAGTAAAGTCTTTAAATGGTTTAATCATAAGAAACTAAGCAAAAAGCTTTAACGCGAGAAACTCGTAAAGGGAAGAAGCTTTATAGCGCCGTGGAAGTGTCAATAAACCGACTATCACTTCTAGCCAAATTGCTGTCTGAAATATTAAATACTTTACCTGAAACACTGAAGACTTGGTCGAGAAAGGTACACAGATGAAACTACTTTGTAGCACTGTAAATAATTGTATTACATGGAACGCAATTGACCGTCAGTACAAGGTATTTCTCTTATAAATCATTTACAAATAACATTTTCTGAGCTGAATCAAATTATTCCTAATCCTTTTGATATAGCAATCAATTTCGGACGAACGATAAAGTAATGTCATGTTGAGCGAAACGGTATCTCAGAGAGGCTGAAAGGGAAGATCAAGATAGGAGAACGAAAGGTAACAATGGGTAATGGAGTGAAAAAAACACGGAATGTGTTTGTGAGACTTAAAGAAGAAAATGATTTAATTGCTACAACCACATTTTTGTGGCTTATTCCACTGGGTCTGTCAATTGTCAATCATACCCGCTGGTAACAAAACGAGTGATGTCACGACCCGAAATAAATGGTACTTTTGAGGATGTGCTGGGATACTGAGCCCCCTGATCTTAAGTAATGTTATAGACTACATCACTCACGTAAGAAGTCTCGAACAGTGGGTTCCATAAACATTAGCATATGGTCGCTACAGAAATCCAGAATAATCTCAGAGAATAATCGCACACACAACTTCTGACCGTTATTGTAGGCAGAAGAGCGTACTGCTCCCCTAATACTAATTACTTGGTATGCTAATAGCCTAATATTAAATGTTCATCACAAATACCAGAACCAATACATGTCTATTCCTTTTTTTTTTTGGTAGCAACAAGAATACCTCTACATTCCCTAATTTCAATAGGGCCCTTTAAACAAATTGAACCTAATTTATAAGCAATAATAAATTCATCTTGGATCCAACAACTTGGCCGTCTGGTGTAGTGGTAAGTGACATGGTCACTACACAAGGGGGTCGCGGGTTCGAATCCCGCCAAGGGAAGGTATTTGTATGATAAATATAAATGTCTTTTCCTGGATTATGGATGTGTCTTAAATATATGTATGTGTATAATAAAAATCTTACATTTATTTGCGTTATCTGGTACCTGTAACACAAGTTCTTTACGAACTTATCACGGGACCAGTTAACGTGGTGTGATTGTTAGTAAAATATTTATTTATTATTTATTTAACAGTCGACACGAGGACTTCATGTGTGGAATCGTGATATGTACTGGGCAGTAGTAGTAGTAGGAAAATATGATTAGTGAACTTTACCACGGTCAAACAAGATTGCTAATATTGACAGGTGTCAGACGAAAAACAAGCACACTCTGAGAACTTTTAGAATGTAGAAATTATTAAGAAGATTATTACTAAGAAATAAGAAGCTGGCAGAAGTTAATGCAAAAAAAACAGATTACGCTGTATAATCAATACATTGAAAACCATGTGACCTGTCAAGTTCTGATAGTAAATGAGAGAAAAGAAGTAAAGGTCGCAAATCGATTGCCTAGACACGAACTAATTAATAACATATAACAAAAATATACTTCAAAACAAAAACGACACACAATAACACACAAATCAGGACGACCCCGGATAGGGAATAAGACAGGGGATTGATTGATTGACTTCAGCGCGTTTTACCAATATCAACAATCTTATTGTAACCGCACGACAAACGTAGCGAAAGCGTGCCACTGTGTCAAGAAATAATGATAATATCAGACCATTTTGCGACAAGTATATATTTTTTCACAAATTTTAGCTACAGACCAAAGTACATTACAGAATTTAATTTGGATTTTAGTAAAAAAATATAGGGTGGGTCAGTCTTCACACAACAGAATTGGGATTTCAATTTTATCTTAAGGCATTCACGTTATGATGTGTGTCAACTGCGCTAATTAATTGTAAAATGTTACGTATATGGATGCAGAGCAACCAAAAAGACTATTACAGTAACTCTAACAGCACAAAAGGAATCCCGGAGAAACCTAAATCCCGCAGATGACAGATATTTGCTCAGACAAGACTTTAAACTGGGGTAAAAAGGATAATATCGTCGATGTCACCAGTTTTTGAGAACGACAAAGTAACGATCTTCTAATGAGAAGCTAATATTGCTCGCTAGACCGACAATATCAATGTTATTGTTGTTCGAATCTGTATACTAGAAGCTTATCGAATAATTTCACAAGCCTAATTTAGGATTTTTGTCGAATTTCTTTAACCTATCTCCTATTTTAGGCTCAACTACAACACCTGGTTGCTAATTTCTCATGCATCCTACGGCATTTGATAGCTTCGCCGTACTAACCAAAACCCCGATAATTCCCACCCAGACTTTCCAATCCCAGACTCACCGTTCCTAAAGAAGGTTAACGTGATCAAGCACCTATAAGTTTGAAGTCATTCCGATAGAGGCACCCGTCACGTGCGGACGTGCTCATCGTCCACTCGATCGCCCGGTCTTTGTTCGCCCGGCTTTTGTTAGCCCGGCCATTGTTCGCGCGGCCTGTGTTTGTGGTACATCTGCCGACTAAGTGCTCTTTCTGGAAGTTTTTATTTGTTTTGTTTCCTTTTGTTGTTTCTGTGTTCGTGGTACATCTGCCGACAAAGTGGTTTCCTGCAAGTATTTATTTGTTTTGTTTCTTTTCGTAATTTCTGTTTTGTTGTGCTTTTTCTTTGTCCTGTAGTAATCGCGCCGCATTGCCACCTGTGTTCAATAGAACCGCTCAGGTCCGAGAAGTTGGNAAAAAAAAAAAAAAAAAAAAAAAAAGTTTGAAGTCAAACTGCAACTAGCTGAAGAGATGAAATTAATAAGATTGTATAGACCATTCCGTTGGCCACTATCCACTTTAATAACTCAAACAGAAGAGCAAGAAAACACCAAAATTACATTTTGTACTTAATGAAAATAATAATGGCTATTATACTTCTCCTTCTTTGTCTCCACCTTATCCCACTAGGTGGGGTCGGCACAGCGAATTTTTCTATTCCATTCTCTTCTATCAGCCGTCATCTCAACAGTCACTCCTCTCTCATATCGTCATTCACACACGCCATTCATGACTTCTTCGGTCGACCTCTTTCCCCTCTATCTTGCACTACCATTTCCATACATCTCCTAGTCACGTGCATCTTCTGTCTACGCATCAAATGTTCATACCACGCTAACCATCCGCTCTACAATTTGTCAATCACCGGGGCTACTTTCACACTTCCCCTGATATACTCATTCTCATTATATTAAAATGTATAATGGCCATTATACATTTTAGTACGTCTTAAATTGAATAATTTTACAGTTTCCCTGGTAACGAAGACACGCAATATGCTCAGAGAACGGGCTAAATAAAATAATATTACGTAACAGCATTAAGGAAATAGAGATCAAACGGACAATCCCTTAGGTATTTTTCAAAGTTATGACCGTAGGGCGGCAAAGGGTGTAGGTGCCGATCGAAGTGGAACCATTTATATTCACACCGTGATCTGCTCAAAATCAAGGAGTATGTGATTCGATTTATATATACTTTACGTATTAATATAGAGCTGTTACAACTATGTTTAATTACAAAGATATCTGAATAACGGTAGGCAGTGGCTTGGCTGTGCCTCTGCCATCGCGGACGTCCATGGACGACGGTAACCACTCACCATCAGGTGAATAAGAAGAAGGTGAAAGAATACAGTAGTCATTGTTGGACGAAACTGGCTTAACATAATCTATTCTGATACATTACTATTTTATTTTTGGTATATTACATATAAAACAATTGTAGGCTTACTAAACTTACTATGGTAGATGTGGTAATGGGTCTCACGTAAGCTGACATGGACCATTCTCAGTTATATGACGATGACAAGGCAGAGTTGCTGGCCGATGCACTGCAAGAGCAGTGCACCACCAGCACTCAACACGCGGACCCCGAACACACCGAGTTCGTCGACAGGGAGGTCGAGCGCAGAGCTTCCCTGCCGCCCTCGGACGCGTTACCCCCCATTACCACTTCCGAGGTCAAGGAGGCGATCGATAGCCTACAACCACGGAAAGCTCCCGGCTCCGACGGCATCCGCAACCGCGCGCTTAAACTGTTACCAGCCCAACTGATAACGATGTTGGCCACCATATTAAATGCTGCTATGACGAACTGCATCTTTCCCGCGGCGTGGAAAGAAGCGGACGTTATCGGCATACACAAGCCGGGCAAACCGAAGAACGAAACCGCGAGTTACCGGCCCATCAGTCTCCTCCCGGCGATAGGCAAACTATACGAACGGCTCCTTCGTAAACGCCTCTGGGACTTCGTATCCGCGAATAAAATTCTTATAGACGAGCAGTTTGGATTCCGCGCCAGACACTCGTGCGTCCATCAAGTGCACCGCCTCACGGAGCACATCTTACTAGGGCTGAACAGGC